AGCCACTCTCCTCTTCGGACTTTGCTTAAAAGCAAAAATACTCCTCATCTCTTCGCATGACGGGAGTCCCTCACCCCTTTCGTGCAGCAACACCATTAACCCTATTATCTTTTTCCAGCTATTCGGTGTGATTTGGCATAACGGCAACTCCCAACTCCGGAGGTATTCCGTGATCAAATTCGGCAGCGGGAACCTTAATCCCGACCTCAGACTCTCCACAAACACACCCACACACCCCGGAGGGGGACTTGTTATTCTCTCCCCGGGATAAGGAGCAAAAATTTTCACTGAAGGGGGAATTCGAATTTGTTCCCTCAACATGACGACGTCGGCGTCGGTCAGAATACTCGGCTCACCAATGAAGTCGATCGTCGGATCGGGCCACCTCCTCACCGGTCTTCTCCAATGCGGCACCGCGAGGTCAGTTGCATTATGCTCCACCACTACATCACCATCCTCGTCGTTCAACTGTATATTTAAGTGCCTTACCAACGACGGATCCCACCGGTGATATTCGAAGGCCAACTCGACCAATTCTGAATCGTGATACACGTCCAATGGAACCGACTCTGTACTCGATGAACTCGCCACCGCCTTTCCCTTTCCTTTCGACGCCATCGTACGGTTGAACAAATTACAAGAGAATTAACAAAAGAAATTGAATAAAAAGCTTACCCAATATCTCTCACACACAGCCAGCAAGGAAAATTCTGCAGACTCAGACGAACTCAAACAACAAAGCGACAAGAAAATTCGAGAGTGAAAATACAAGTGAAGGAAACCCGATCAAACATTGCCAAACCCTATTTATAAGCATCAGATTGTGACCGTTGGATATCGCCACTAGGGGGCGCGTCGAACCGACGCGACCCCTAATCCTAACCGACACCGCCCTTTCATCTGATGGGACACCTACTGGTATACGTGGCTGCCTATTAAAGTCGACCGTTACCTCTTTTAAGACCATTACGGCGCGACCGTTCGGCCTGCACATTTACTCGTTGACCGTTACGACCGTTCATCACTTCTGTCATTAACTGTCAGAAGATTACCCAAAATTCACCAAGTGTCTCCACTTCGGCACACAGTCTGCACTTCGGACAAATGATCCACCTCGGTTACGTCGGTAGACCGACCAAAGATGATCCACCGAACATCGTAGACCACATCGTACCACCGACTTCTTGCCGATCCAGAGACAGGGTCTCTAAGTACCTGGTATATTGCAACATCAATGACCATCACTCCGTATGCCCACCGATGTTGGGGGCCTCTCTGTTATCATCCGACTCGGCAAGACACTGTTAAGAGGTTTCGAGCATCTCATAAAGCGCAATTAACCGTTAAACCGACGTGAATCATAACCGCACCGATCTACACCAGAGAACCGGTCTGAATCACCAAAGACCGAAGTGACCGACGATTACCGAGGTCAACACCCCCCGAGGACAATATGAACCGAGGTCGTCACCTCCTTAAGCAGGTGACAAGGCGTCTACGTGAGGTCCTCCTACTCCACAAGATCTGTCATCATTTGCGTGGGACCCTCTGCCTCGAACCGCCCATAAAAAGCTACTTTATTCCAAAAAGTAGCACACGGATCCCGATGCCTCAACCCAAAAACTACTATAAATAGCGGACCTATGACCATTGTAAAAGGATCTCGGTTTTCAAAAATTACCGAACTGTAAACTCTTTACCGTATAACACGTAAAAGCCCTTCACGGCTCTTCACCTCGGTTCACCTCGGACCGGGGCCATTGCTGATGCAATTTACGTTCAAATCCTTCCAAATTACTTTCTTAATCATAGATTACATCGTTGTTAACAATCACATAACAACAGCGCACATTCGAATTTATTGGAAAATAAATCCTAAGCATCGAAATCTATAGTTAGGATTAGGACTTACGATTTAAAATTTTTACCGGCTCTCAAACGTTTCTGATTTTTTCTTTAAGAGATTGTATGAACTGAAGAGTCCGTTAGGCAGCCAAACTTGGCCTCCAATTCATCTTTGGCTGCTTGTCGGGCTCGTCAAGTTGTCTCGGACCTTCGGTAGGTTAGTCGGACTGCTCGAGAACCGCCTTAGGCACGAACTGGGCTACTGGACCAAGTTGGACCGGTTTGGTGCGAGGATGCGTTTGGACCGGTTGATGAAGACCGTATATCCGCTCAACTTGATTCGCGTCGAAAGTTGCGTTGCCACGACTTCCTTCTCGGCGATAGGTGTGGACCACTCGAATTACTCCTTATCTCTCACGTGTTTGAGGTAGCTCGGGTGTTAATCCTTACTAAACTCGGTTTGTATGACAAAAACTCTCACGAATTCTAATCACACGAAATTTGTTCTTGTAAACAGTTTTTCTTTTATTTCATTGCTTGAATAAAAAGATGAATACAAACGCCTATTTATAGGAAAAAAATAAAGAATAAGCCTATACTATTCCTAATAGATATCAAATACCAATTTAATGGAAACTAACTAACTATTTTATGCAACTAAACATCTATTATCCTGATACTTCTAAAATAACTAAACTCCGACCACTCTAAACACTAAAACACACGGCAAACTAAATATATAATTACCTAATCTTATAAACTAACTACAACACCTAAACAACTTACGGTTAAATAAATAAACTACCTGACTTGCTAATGCCAAACTAACTAAATATATATACTAACGCTACTAATCTAATTAACTAACAATCAAAACAATTTATCAAACTTACAAAATGAATCTAAAATACTATTAAATAATTACCAAACTAACCTAATAACAATCTTCTAGAAACTTCGCCCTCAACTTGCTCGGACCGCCTCGTGCTTGTGCATCACGTCCACGTACACCTTCGCGTGCTTGATATTTTATCTGTGCAACGTTTTTTAAAAAGCGTCGCAAAAACTTTAATTTAATTTATTAAAAAATCACCATATTTATGTTGCTAGAACTCATTTTTTTTTGTAGTGATTGACCCGATTTGGCCCGCTCATTTTTCCTTTCAAAACGAAAAGTGATCTCTTGGTTGTATCTGCTATATGTCTCTTTGCCAAATGCCAAGTATCTCTCCTCCTATAGCGAGTTCGTGTTGAGATAGTTGCAGATTTGGGAGAGGAATTTGCCAGGTGCACGATTTAGGAGGAAAATGAAAATTTTGCCCAAAATTGTCCCAAAATTTTAAAAATATTGGAACTAATTCTGATTATAGTTGATTCCAATGTGACGAGATTTTATGATTTTATCAAACGGGACATAGTTTTGAATTTTTTCCAATGATAAACTAACACGTGTAAACTCAATTAATATAAGCCAAAGTCAACACTGTGGTTTTGTGTGAAATGCTCAAAGTGGAACGTGGAAAAATTTTCCATTTAATAGGCATGCGAAACTCATGACCTTTATATTTCTGCTAGCTGCAGGTGTTGTGGTTTTGGTGTTTGTTACAGTCACCACCATTGTCGTCGTTTTCTTTTCCAAACTACGAAGGACAATGGCAAGCAGAGGACACGACGAGATCGAACTCTTCTTAAAAGAGCATGGTAACCTCGCACCCAAAAGATACAAATACAGTGATCTCAAGAAGATGACCAACTCATTCCGCGACAGCTTAGGAAGAGGTGGCTTTGGCAGTGTCTACAAAGGTAGGTTAGCCGACGGCGGTCTTGTTGCGGTGAAAACACTGAATGTGCAGACAGAATCGGACGGAGCTGAATTTGTGAATGAAGTGGCAAGCATCAGTCGAACCTCCCATGTCAACGTTGTCAATCTATTAGGTTTTTGCTTAGAGGGCTCCAAAAGAGCCCTCATTTATGAGTTCATGCCCAATGGCTCTCTCGAGAAATACATACGTTCAAAATGTGTGTTGGGATGGGAAAAAATGTTTGGGATCATGCTCGGCGTAGCTCGAGGGCTCGACTACCTGCACCAGGGGTGCAACACGCGTATTCTGCACTTTGATATAAAGCCCCACAATATCCTTCTGGACAAAGACTTCAACCCCAAGATCTCAGACTTCGGACTGGCCAAGTTGTGCCCTAATCGGTCAAGTGTGGTGTCATTGTTGGTGGCGAGAGGGACAATAGGGTACATTGCCCCGGAGTTGGTCTGCATGAACTTTGGGGACGTGTCGTACAAATCAGATGTTTATAGTTACGGGATGATGGTTTTGGAAATAGCTGTGGGGAAAAGAAATATTAATTACCCTAGAGATGTTAGTAGTTCGAGCGAAATGTACTTCCCGCATTATATCTATAAACAACTCGAAGAGGAGGAGGTCATAGGGGATTGTGGGATTGATGAGAATATAACAACTAATGAAGGTGGAGGTCATCAGGACATATTAATGAAGAGAAAATTGATCATAGTTGGTTTGTGGTGTGTACAAACCAACCCAAAGGACCGGCCATCGATGAGTAAGGTGGTGGAGATGCTGGAGGGGAAGCTTGAATCTTTGGAGATTCCACCAAAACCTTCCTTATCTACACCACCACAATTGACACTACATTTTTCCACTTCATCCCTTTGACCATTACGAGCTATGTATGTTAAAATATTCCTCAGACATCCAACATTATACAAGATTTACTTTATGTCACCATATATTAATTAATTAAGTGTAAAATATACATGACCCCCTGTTTTTTACGAAATTTACTTGTTTTTCTATGATATTTCAAAAATTGCGTCAGACCCTCTTGTATTAACTAACTGTTGCACGATTCCCTTCTCTCCGTCCAACTTGACGGCGCGTGGAGTACACATTTTTGTAATGCGACAAGTATACATTTTTTTCATATATTTTTTTTTATTTTAAAATTTTTACTATTTTGTCTCTTGCTTTTCTACCCATTCTTTGGCAAAAATAAATATTTCACTGCTCCAAGGATTCAAACTCGGGCCAAAAGCACAATAGGCAAGACTTCAAATAACACTACCCCATCATTTTATGGTACATATCCAACACACATTTATTTAAAGCAACAGAACAGAGAAAAACTTAATCAAACAAAAAATAAAACGTAAAATAATCACAAAATAAAGTTATTATAAGAAAATATAATTAAAATAAAATAAAAATTAAATAGAATAAAACTAAATGTGAAGTTTGAAAATAATAAATATATATATATATATATATATTACTATTTAATATAAAATAAAATAATAATATCATTTTAAATAAATATAATATAAAATAAGTTTAATATAAAATTTAAATATATGTTTTAATGAATTGATTTAATAATATATATAAATAAATATAAACTAAATTAAATTTACTTACAATAAATAAAATGATACTTCTATATACAATATATTATTAGCGTTATAATTTAAAAATAAATTATTTTTAATTCATTAGCTATACATGATTTGTAATTATTTCTTTTATATAGTTATTATATTATTTAGCTTTTTTTTTAACGTTATATATATTATTGAGGACATGAGACTCATTTTTAGCCACAAGATTTGGCACATCATGTGTGGCTAAGATTTACTCTTTTCTTTTTATTATTTTAATTATTTAAATATTATTTTGACCCGTTGACTTTGACGTTGACCGTTGACTTCCGGCGAAATCTGTTGACTTACAGTGTTGACCGTTGACTTCCGACGTTGACGGTTGACAACTAACCTTTCAACTAGGTTAGTTCTCTGTAGTTGCTAGGTTAGTTCTATGCAGTTGCTAGGTTAGTTCTCTGTAGTTGCTAGGTTAGTTCTTTGTAGTTGTTAGATT